CCCCTCCATCTCCCTGCACGCCATCCAGCGCCTGCAGCTCCCCAACACCGAACCCCAAGCCCAAGCCCAAGCCCAAGTCCAAGGCCTGTACATGCAAATCGCCAACCCAACTACCTCCTCCTACTCCTCCGCCGACGACGAAGAAGACGCCCTCACCGTAACAGTCGTCCCCGAGACCCCCGCCCAAGAATCTTCTACCCCCGCCGCCGAGGAAGGAGACGAAAAGCCCGAAACGCCCACCCAGACTCTCTACGCTGCTGTGTCGGCGTGCTCGAATCTGCATCCGGATCCGGTGGAGCCGGGCGATGAGGACGAGGATGATTACGAAGGAGAAGGAGGAGCGTTTCAGTCTGGGTTAGTGTCGATGGGAAGTGCGGAGGGTGGGTTGCCGCCGCCGGTGGAGGGGAGTTCCGGGTGGATTACGGCGGAGAATATGCATGAGTTCTTTGATGAGGAGGGGAATTGGATTGCTGGTGGGGAGGAGCCGACGTTGCCTTTGGGGCCTGGGGCGGGGACGGTGAGGCAGAGGGAGGAAGGGGAGGGGGAGGGGGGGGATGGGGAAGAGGGTGTTAATGGGGATGGTACTGGGGAGGAGACGAAGTGGAGGAGGACGGATTAGATTGTTGGTCTATCCAGATATCTTCTTGGTCTCTGCTTGTGTACTATCTCTACTTAAACCGATGGTATGTGTGTGTTGTGGAATACTTCTGTAATGATAGATGCTACTTAAGTCACTTGTTATGAAACAGATCAATTGCCAAGTACGTACTACTTTGAAAGAAGATCAGTGACCATCATCTCTAGATTAATTTTTATTAATCCTACCTATTACCTACGTTCATCTTTACAGTGGAGGGTAGACACGCCCGCACGCTAGCCAAGCAAAGGAAACAAAAGAAACAATCAACGCCGCCGCCAATTATCGATCCATCCATGCGCCCTATTCTTTCAGGAACCCATCTCCATCATATAAGCTTCCCGGCGTGGCAGCCCCGATTCCCAGTCCAACAGGCTTTTTCGTTGGGGTTCGAAATCCGTGCCGGGAACTGCCAGGGCCGGGCTTCAACCGGTGGCTCTTTGCCCGCCCAACTTGGGCTGAAGGTTCACTGGGCGAAGTAACTGAAGAATTCCTGGGACCCTTGCCCTTGGGTTCCGAAGCCCGGTCTTCCCAGATGGGAACTATGATGCCGCTGTTCGCAGTTGGCGGTTTTGGCACAGCGGCCGCTGGCCGCCAGAGCTGCGCCTGAGAATAGCTGATCGGAGAGACAATGTGATGCGGACTACCCTGGTACCGCGGGGCCACCATGTTCTTGGGGTCGTTCTTCGCACGCAATGGTGATTCTGCTGTATTGCGTACCGGTTCCTTGCCCATACTAGGACCACGCGAATGACGCATCGGAGGACTTGACTGCGTCATGGCATTGTCATCGAGGGTGTTCAGTGAGCGGAAGCTGCTGCGTGCTGTCGATCGTGGCGGAGGTTGACGCGGTCCCTTGACGGCTGTACGGCGCGGACTGCCAGGGTTTGAGGAGTTTTCGAATCCCGTCGGCGAGCTGTTGTAATGCGGAATCATCCAGACCGGACTATTCTTTTCCGGAGATGGCGTAGTCGACAGGTTGGTATCAATCCTGGGGGGCGGTAGAGTCGTCACAATATCAGGCAATGACTTCTCCATGTCCATAATACTCATAGTGCGATCCCCGGCATCAGTAGGGGAGTTCACCTTGAGCTTCGGCGGTCCGCCCTGCGAGGGTTCATCTGAAATCTCCGTAACTCGCGGGTTTTCCTTCTGTTCCTCGTCATAGCTGGCCCGACTCATTGAAAGGCCTGAACCGTTGGACTGAAGTGAGATTTGAGAGATTGATGGATTGGGAACTTGTGCCCGGGTGGTATCAATTTCGTCGGTCTCCTCGGGCTCCTCGGCCGTAGGCGAGAAGACTGGGCCACTAAACGTGATTGGAGGATGTATCGAGATCCGAACGCAGTTCTGCCGCCGATGGCCTTTGCGGGTGCTACTGCTCCCTTTGAGTGCAGAGGGCAGAGGGGGTTTAAGGTGACTGTTCGGGCCTAGCAGAGGACCATCCGGAATCCCAGTGGTACTAGGCTTCAATCGGGGGTCAGTGCTCAAGGCAGAATTGCTCATCACGTTGTAAAATGGATCGAGCTCGTTCTTCTGATCACCATACATCGAACGGCGTTGCATTTGACTGAAATGTGGCACTAAGGCTCCATTGGGTACTGGATTGAGGGAAGGCGGGCGGCTCAGATCCAGAGGCTTCACCCACAGGGATGAGTCTCGCTTGGCTTTTATTTCAGACAGAGACTCGGTTCGTCGTGGCGATGGACTGACGCGTTCCGTCGAATGAGTCGGGCTCCGTGTGGTCATGCTTCGACGCGGAGAAGAGCGAGGTGATGATTCAAGTCTCCTGGCTTCCCACGCGGTGCCAGAATTTGACGGAAAGACGAATTGAGATGGTACGACTGGAGCTGGCCCAAGGCCTCTTCGATCATATTCCATCCGTCCAACATCGTTGGCATCAAACGGGGCGAATGTGGGACATGGAGGCAAAGCGGGCGATGTGAAAGTACTGTCGACATTTGTCGACGTTCTTCTGCTGTCCTCCAAAATGGAGCTGTCTGCGGTTTCGAGACTCAGTGAAGAGAGACAAGTCGAGTCATTCCTTGACAAACGGAAGCGGTTTGGCGGATAGGCACATGGTGGTGGAGGTACAGGTTGCTCGGGCGCAGACCCGGCCGTTTGAGCAGTGATACTTCCCCCACGTACCCGACTATTGGATGGGTTGCAACCGTCTTGTTTATCCTCCATGAGCGGGTACAGGCTGCCGGACCGCTCCCTATGATGCTTCAATGGCCATGCCCCCGAGCCTGGTCGGCTCGTGAGACTTGCTTTCAATTGCTCTTCTTCTCGGTCTGGGGTATGCCGCGGTGTGGTCTCCGTTGCTAGCTCGAACGCACCCTCGACAGCAGAGTTCGGCACGTTATCGTCGATCCCAGATACTGTCGGTGAAGCCGATTGCCGCTTCTCTGAATGCTCCGTCAGTGGAGACAGTGAGCTGAGTCGTTGTGGTCCTAGGAGGTGTCGTGACAACCGCGCAGAGCGGCTTGAAAGAGACCGTGATAGTGAACGACGCATGTCACGGGCTTTCTCGTCCAGGGGAGATGACGTGTCAGAGTCCGTAGGGGTTAGAATGAGGCTCTCGCGTGATGAAAGGACTCCCCACTCAGACGGCTTTCCATATGGGAGCTGTCCGTACTGTCGTAATGCGGTGCCCTCCTCCCGCGAGAGTTCTGTCAAAGTCTCCCCCTGGTATTGTTGTAGAGCATATCCATCCTGCTTCGCGTTTGCCACCGCCAGAGACAGGCGATCCTGACGGACTCTTATCCAAATGACCGTGCCAACTATCGCAGACACAATAAAAACGACGGAGCAGCTCACGGCTATCGCTATCACCGTGGTCAAGGGCGGCATTGTCGTTTCTTCCTGCTCTCGGTGCCAGAGCTGGCAGAACCTGGTTCCTTTAGGCTTTGAGTAGACGCGTTAACCCATACACTCGAGCTGGTACCTGTCCCAGTGTCTATACCAGTTCCGCGAGGGTTCCGGACGGCATTCAACGGCGCCGAAGACCAGGAAAGAGTAGCAACTGCTAGCCACGGATACGCCAGCACAAGAATAATCAGAGAACAGAGAGATCCATGATGGATGGGAGGAAGCGCGCTCGTGAGGGAGCGTTGCGTTTGTTATGGCAGCCGGCTGGGGCATGGGAATGTGGTAGCATTATTGTCGGCTCGCGAGGAATGCTGCGATGTCAACCAACCATCCTCCCCAGCGGGCTATTGACTGGCGATAGGGAGCCCTCATTAAACTGAAGCTCGGTCCCAGAATTCCTGTAATGTCTCGATTTAGAAGATAAGTCGAGAATAGACCATCGCCAAGATGCTGGCAGATCTACAGGAGGCCGCAGAGTTTCCACTGATAACTAGAAGAATGTTAGCGAAACAATCAAGAATTGAGCACCCCTGGAGCTCGTGGAACATGGTAGATTCCAACGAGTCCCTCTTCATGGAGACCATTATCGTGCAAACTACTTTCGCTTGTACTGTTAGTTATCAACAGCAAACTACTACTTTGTAAAGGACTGTACGTTCTGGGTTGAAGGAATCCAGTAGCCCTTCTTGGCATGCCAAATGGCACCGCATGCAGGCTCAAGTCTGAGAAAACCACGAGTATATCACTGAAGGTATGAAACACCTGCATTAGCAACGTAGCTCCCTGCGCGTGTCTTTTCTTCTTCCCAGCTTCGCGTGGTAAAAGCGCAAGTGGAGGTAGAAGTGGAGATTCCCCGGGAAACCCCAATCGGGCAGCCGCTGTCACGGGGGTGCGGGACGGAAATACGATGAGTCCGGATCCGCCGGCCTCTCGGATTTGGAGAAACAGACGAGGTTGATCAACCTCGAACTTACTCAGTGATCAGGTCTCGTGTCTCCTGATATTTCCGAGGTCATCGTCTGATTGAGGCCGTCAGATGCCAGAATTGTCCCGATGCCGACACCGATGGGGACTTCGGTGAGATAAAGAAAGCAAGCGAAAGCTGCCGAAGCAGGGCATGGGGCGCCTGTCGTCAACCCACGCCCGGATACCCCCAGTCTGGGACTTTTCACCCGCCTTGGAGACTATGGGACCGCTTAGCGTCAGTAGAACCCACCAGACGAGAAAGCTGGATGGAGTGAGCGTGGCCAGTCGGGGCAACTAGACTTATCCTCGATAGCCAACCCCAAACTCTGAATAATGCGAACTCTAGAGAAGGAGCCAACCATCTGCATAGAGGGGGGCAATGGCCCAGTCAACCCCTCACCGGCGCGGGGGGCTCCTACTAGTGGGCTTGCTGTCCTAATAGTGTTTACGTTGCTGGCCGTAGTGGTGTGTATATCTAAGCTCCAATCTACGATTTAAAGCTGCCCGCCACCTGGCTAGGCTGTCTCACGTTTTCACTTCCTTCTTTCCTGCCTCTCCTGCATTTTACCGTGAACCCTCTCTCTTCACACCCCTCTTCCACCAATAGATCCGATAATGGCTGCCAGCCCTCAGAAAGATGGACTCTTTGTCCATGACAACACGACCGCTCCAGCCCACCCCGGCTTGCTGAGCATGTTCTCACTGAAGGGCAAGACTGCCATCGTTACAGGCGCCGGTGCTGGCATCGGTCTTGCTGTAGCTATTGGCCTGGCTGAAGCCGGTGCAAATGTGGCCATGTGGTATAGCAGCAACCCCAGCTGCATTGAGCGGGCCGCGGAGATTGCCTCCAAGTATGGTGTCCAGGGTCAGTAGCTCTCAGACCATATTCCCCACTTACCGCCAGGCATAGTTTACTAATGCTCATTCTAGCCCAGGCGTACAAGGTCGAAATCACCAAGCCCGAAGCTGTGCAGGAGGCCGTTGACCAGGTCGTGAAAGACTTCAACGGCCGACTGGACGTTTTTATTGCCAATGCCGGTGTCCCTTGGACTAAGGGCCCCATGGTTGACGGTCCGCTGGACCACTACCAGAATGTGGTCGATGTCGATCTGAACGGTACCTTTTACTGCGCCAGGGCCGCAGCAACCCACTGGAGGAGACAGAAGGAGGAGGGCACCGATATCAACGGTAACGCACTCAACAACTTCACCTATGGCAGCTTTGTGGCCACCGCTTCCATGAGCGGTCACATTGTCAACTTCCCTCAGATGCAGGCAGCATACAATGCCTCCAAAGCGGCCGTTATCCATCTCTGTAAGTGAAGCGGCCTTGGAGAAATAGACTTGCATCGTACTAATTCCCTATGCAGGCAAGTCGTTGGCTGTTGAGTGGGTCAGATTCGCACGTGCCAACACCGTCTCCCCGGGATACATCGCAACAGAGATCTCGAATTTCATCCCAACTGAGACTAAGGCCGTCTGGAAGGATAAGATCCCCATGGGTCGCGAGGGAACACCCGAGGAGCTGAAGGGCGCGTATCTGTACCTGGCATCGGATGCATCCAGCTACACTACTGGAGCAGACATTGTGGTTGACGGCGGCTACTGCGCCCCGTAAGCTTTTGATGATATAGATGGCATTTTATGATCTGTACATTTGAACTTGCAGCGGTACATATGAAAGATATATTACACGATAGACGAAATGAACGACTGGACTTCTTCGCGATCAAGCCCGTTCGTGGCGCTTCTTAGATTCGACCACACCCGGTCAGGGCCAAGGCACCAGGCCAACCACTACCATAGATCCCTGCATAAGCTGTGGCTTGCAGGTTGCAGGACTTCAATATTGAGGATCGGCAGTGACGTAGGTCCACGATCGCGTAAGGTCCCCAGGAGTAGATCACAGTAGTGTGACCACTTCTCACAACACGTGTCGGGTATTTGTATTATCCCATAGCCATAAGAATCAATTAGTCGTATCAGAAGAAGATGGTCCCTCCTGTACCTTTTCCACCACCCACTTCACCACTGAATCCACCACTCCATCAACCCACTCCCCTTCATCTTCATCTTCATCTCCATCCACAGAATAATAATCTTCTCCCATCTCCGGAATAATTGGGAAGGGCGGTTCCATGACCTCCGGGTATATGACGGATGTATCCGGGTCGAAGTACCGAGAGAGAGGGGTTGCGGGGGGAGCAGCATAGCCATTGGTGGTGAAACGGTGATCACTGCAGCAGGATGTTGTGTTCATGTTAGTCATCTTTTGTTTTATGTCATTGTGCGTGGGATGTATGCCTCAAGGCTTGATGTGCTTGGTAGATTCAGTAGGAAGGGTGAGGTTTAGGTGTAAGCAGTGGTACTAGAGTTGATGTGGTTGGTCGAGGAATGTGGGGGGTGTACTAAGTACTAGTAGTAGTACTGGTAGTATACATACCGGTGAAGATGATCCAGTTCGACTTCGTGTTGGTAAACGGGGAGGCGGGTGTAATTCGGAGTGGTATATTTTCGAAGTATAGAACGAATGGCCTTGCGGTGCTGAATGAGGAGGAAGAGGAGGGAGAAAAGAAGACAGGCTGTTGGGAACAGAGGGATCATGTTGATGGAATATGTAGATGTTTATTCTCCTGTTCCTCAGGCAGAAATCTGTTAATGTCGAGAAGGATGTTTCTACTATGCGATATGGATATGTTACTACCATCTAAGCAAACAAAACAATCCTTAACAACATCATTCAATCAGTGGATATTCCTTTCTGATTATTATTATAATCGATCTCTTCCGTCAGTCCTCGTCTACTCGAAATAGTAAGTATATGAGGTAACTGAACCGGATCGTTAGTCCGAAATAGTTAGCAAGACTGACGCATCTCTTCAGTCATGTCAGTCATGCCAGACATATATCATCTAGAAGATATTAACATTCCCACACTTCATTCCCTTGCCTACTACTATCCCCTGTTACTACAAATCCCAAGAAAAGAGAAAAAGCCATGGCCGAACTTCCACTCTATTCTTCTCTAAGAGAGGAGCTGGATTCACCACCTAAGATATCAATCCAAATCATAGGATCATATCTCACAGACAAACAGGTCAGGGAAATTGACTTTGATCTTTGGGTTGACTGTACGAAGATGGTTGGAATCAAGTCAATTAAAGCATCAACTAGTACTGAAGAATTATGTCATACCTGGCAAAACCCATCCCAGCAAAAGGACAATCCCGAAGATATGCTGGAAAGATGGCTGAACTATTGGTTGAATGACTGTGCAGAAACAGACAGAAGGTCAGTAATCATCTGCTCCTTCCCCTTGGTTCTCCCTATCTTGTACTGATAATATATTTTATCCAGCTGGACACTGCACAAGTCAGTCTCTTTTGCGCAGGAAGAGCTCAGCGCGATGAAATTCCACATAAGACTCCTGGCGCGCGAAGCCTATTATCGGGGCTCGATTGAAGTCATTTTACATGCGCCCTCTTCTGAACCCGATTATAATCCTCTGGGTTATGAGAGCACAGACAATGCACGGCTTCAGGTTGAATGGAGTTTTGAGTGCCCTTTCATGCCCACTGACCACAACTCGAATTCCATACTTCAGTATGCAATGAAACAGCGGAAGAAGGGCTGGGTGGATCTGAACGGACCAAAGCCCTCTTATGGGCAGTGTATGCTTCGAAGAGCGCCCGCTTATGATAGTCAGGATGACAGCACAATCCGCGATAGACTACTCTGGCTGTGGGGCCGTGATGGTCCGCCACTGATAGGATAAGTGGGCTTTTTTGATAGCTATTAGCCAGCAGTGACGGTCTTTGGAATATTACTTGTTGCAATTTGGGGTCTTGTTTCTGATCTAAGATCTTGTGTATACATTTTCTGAGATGTCCTGCAGCACTACTGTGAGAACAGAGCTGCGTACAGCAGTTGGCTATACACATTACGTTTGCTATATGAAAAAAGAGAGGGAAAATAAGAGGGTCGGCATGGTATTGCTAATGTAGCATATAGTAAGTAAGTTATACACCTGGTTCTAAAGTAGGAATATTGTATTTTTCATGTCCTTTGGTAGTTATATCATGTGACCACATAGGTGATACCGACTATTCAACCAAGAAAACAACTGAGAATCAACCCAATGTTTTTATCCCAGTAATTATCCATCCCACATCCCTAGGATAATCGGGTACTACCTTCAAATTTTTTTCAGTTCTAAACCTTGCAAAGTTATAAAGGGCAATCACGACCGGCATCTACAGATATGTATTTCCATCACTACTACCGCTTCTGCTATTAAGTACTACTACTAGTAAGCAGCAACAACCCTCACCTGACAGCCCCCCAACCCACATCACTTGACTCCCCTACAAAGTATGAACTCGAACCAGCTGAGTCCGTCCCAATCCCCATGATCTCCCTCTCTCATTCCTCTGATTTCGTCACTTTCATCGCTCTACTAACACCAAATACAGGATCCCCTCTTATCATCCTCCAATGACCCCATCACATTCATCTCAGCTCCGACATCATGTGCCCGGCCCCGGAAACCATATCTTACCACCAATATATACAAATGGAACAATCACCCATTCTTTCATCACTCAGGTATGAGAATATTTATGAAACAATGCGGCACTTGCCGATAATGGATTGTCGAAAGTCACTGTATACTCTGTACTATATATTCTTCTTATGCCCTGAGAGAATGGCATAGTAAGCTCAAAGCTATTTTTGTTCAGGATACTCTTCTCTACTCTCCCCTCTATACCACCATATATGGAACTAGTATAGCACACTTCCCCTTCACCACACCCAACTACTATCAAATCCAATCTCGGAACCTATGATCCAAATGTACCAACCAACATCATGCCTCATGCTACACATCATCCTCCCCATGATGGAGAGGATATGGCAATGGTACGTTTCTCTCATTCTCATCCCCGATCCTCATCCTCTCGCATCCACATACACAACCAAATCAATCCCTTTCAAACCATCCCGCACAGAAAGAGTTGAAGAGAAAACCATCCACAAAAAAGAACAACCAAAACCTACCCCCCAAAAGACTCTGAGTTTGTCCCTGAGAGAACAAAAACAGAATGCCTCCCTCCAAGAAGCCCTCTCCTGCACCAGCTGCACAATCACCCGCATCCCCAAGGACATCTACTATGATGATCGCATAAAAGGCATCTACGATGCCTCCCGCGATCCACCGTTCCTGATCCCAGGCCTCACCACCACCACAGAAGACAAAGAAATACCACCCGACGAAATACTTCCATCCCCTAAAGAAGGCAAAGGTAATAAACAAGAGCAATCACCAACATACACCCACCTCCTCACACCAACCCAAGAACAATCCTACAACACCCAACTTCAAATATACCTCAGCCACGACCCGACAAACGACCACAAGTTCGCAAAATACCTCGTGGACTACCACATCCACATACATTACCTTCTGCGTCGCAGCATGCTAGGTCTCTGTCGGGACGTGACCGATCTATACGAAATGGAAGATTGGATGAAGAGGATGCATCCCGTCAACCATGAGGATGAGATATCTATCAGTCCTACTAGCATTTACACCCCTCAGTCCCAACTCGGACCGTCCCAGAATCTCTATTCCCTGAGAAGTCAGAACTACCGCAAACGCCACAGCCGACAACAACAATCCTACCAGTCTCCCTTCTACCAACCACAGAGACAACATCTCCCCCGCTCATCACTCTCATCCTCCGTCTCATCAACAGAAGATGACCGCCCAAGCGACTGGCCAGGCGACTCAAACCGACAGATGAAATATCAAGTGAAACTATGGGATAAAGACGCAAGAATGAGGAGAAAGCGATATAAGGAGAGTCAAGCCCGCTGGGCGGTTATACAAGAGGAGAGGGAACGACAACGGGAGATGATGATGATGATGATGCGGAGTAGGAGGAATTTGCCTAGAAATACTAGTGCGCGTATGAAAGGGGGTAGCGCTGGTGGTGGTGTCAAAGTGAGGCTGTATTGCTCAACGCAGGTAGCAGGTGTTGGAGGTGAGGGGTTATACTATGATGGGAAGAGGAGGTTTCTGAGGGAGGTAGAGGTCGAGGAGATGGCTTTTGGAGAGGTTATTAGATGACTAGGAGTGATGAAATGGATATATGAGTTAATGAGCTGTCTGTCCGGTATAGTGTAGTGCTCTTTTTGATTTCTTCTCAGTTTCTGCTGATTTCTTTCCAATTTCTAATTTTAAATTTAAATTACCTGTGGTAAGTCATGGATGGGGATGGGGATGGGGTGGAATGTAGGCGGATGGCCATTCATTCTTCAAGCCGGATGGATGGAATGCGAGCAAACCGAAAGCGATAATGAAGGTGCACCACCACTCCTTGACATGTGAGAGATACCATAACCGTGTCTTTACTATGTTCACTGCACCGTTATCTATCTTCATAGCATGATTCATACTTTCATATCCTATCTTCAAAATCTACCTAATAGCCAAGTCATAATATGTCCCCCACAACGAAAAACCGACCCCAAACCAAAAAATCACTCCACAGACAAGCAATCATCCGGATCAAAGTACCCGCCTGACGACCGCATCCCAAAATGCATCGCTTCAATCGCCTCGTGCCCCTCATACTCATCTTCCCCGTCTAGCCTCTCTTCACCTTCCTCAGCCACATCCTGTGCAGTAAGTTGAGCAACCACCTTCTGATTGACGCGGTAGCAAGAAAGAATCTCCGACGTCACTGATCGTGCCGGTAGGGTGCTCGATTTGATCTGGCAGAGGACCTCCCCAAAGGCATGCATGACGAATTTGGCGCCCGGATATTCGTTATATGTGTAAGATGCAAGGACCCGGAGCCATTCGTCACGGCAGTGCTGCCAGACCAGTATTATAGGGTGATCGCCTTCCGGGGGAGGAATGGACCTGGCCTCTCCTGCAGCGTCCAGCGCGTGAGGAGAGAACGAGTCCTGACTTCGGGAAATAGCTGTGTTCCATTGATTGTGGAGTTTTCTGATCTTTTCTCTCATGCCCTTAGCGGCTGCGAATAACTGTCCGCGTTGGCCTTCGTTCTTGATCTTTTCGCGGATTGTACGCCAGGGCCGTACCAGGTCTTCGTCTTTGCTGAAGGATGCCTCCTCTTCTGGGAAGTCTGCCTCGAGCTTGGTAAGCATCTTGTCCCGCTCCTGCATCGCGACCTCGAACCGGAGATAATCGATGATGTTGGATTTCTTGGGTGTTCGGCCGGGTTTCTTGTATGCGGGAAGTTCGCGTGCCCGGGGACTGATTTTCTTGCGATATTGCCGCCATGCTTGCTCGGATAGGTGGACTCCTGCTTTGCGGCCGTCGACTAGGTGACTGAGGAGACAGGCGAGTTCCTTCGCTTTGTCTGAGTCGATTGACTCCTCCTAGTCATAGGCGATCATCTCATGCTCCACGGTACAGCGACCTAGGTTTGACAGGGTCAAATTGAATGTAAATGAGCTCTGGAGGAACTCATCCATGGAGTGAATGTCTTTCATGTCTACAGCGTACTTGGTAAGTCCGTAATGCTCCGGTGGGAACTCTGTATCTGGCAAGTCAGAATTGTAGAAGTTGCGGACGATGTTCTGGTCCCAGCAAATCCAGGGAGTATCGCCATCGTAGTCACCCCCTGAGAGCATATGTGCCAACGGTATGTTGCCAACACTGGAAAAGACAATTACGTCTTTGAAATGTCGTAGCTCTTGCTTCCACACTGCCTTCCGGCGTTGGATATCAGAGGGCAGATGGGCGGGAAGACGGCCGACGAGGACATCAATGCCATCTAGTAGAATATCTTCAAATTGCCCCTTTCCATCGCGCCAGACGTTCGAAAAGCCAAAATGAACTTCATCCTCCTTTAAGACTCCGTATGGGTCAGCAATGCAGAAAGCGTATGTTGAGAGGGGCACTTCAATGCGAAGTTCGTCCACATGCCGCTTCAGGAGCTCTCGTAGGCACTTCCCCAATCGCTTACGGAGGAAATAAAAGCTCCGAGGACAGAAGCCAGCTTCAGTAAGGCGGATTATAAACTCGGCATCATTGCTCATCCAATTTTCGAATCGCCAGGTCCTTTGAGACACCGGTCCAAAGCCATCATCCCCCGACGGGCGGATTTTCTGTACTAGGCTCCGGCAGAGCACTGCGCTGTCGGATTCGAGAACGTCCGCAAAGTCCTGATATAACGATTGGATTCCTAATCGTGTGAGATCTGCGAGATGCTCCTTAATGTGCCCACCGTGATCCAATATGCTCAAAAGCTGTACATTCAGATTCACGGGATGCAAAGGTTTAGACCATTTAACAACCTCAAAGGTAAGTTTCTCATCGTCTACCGACCCATCCCACTCGTTAGGATGTGGCCTTATCTTCAACTGTGAGTCAGATATTTGGATCCATACGTCATCGTCAGCTGTGACGTGAGATCGATGTTTGTCGACCATCCACAACCCTTTTGCACCTGCTATTCTACCCTGGAAGGCGCTTGGGGTGTATCCCGTCAGTCCTAATGAATCACAAATCTGATTGGCCAAGCTTCTAGACATCAAAGCGCAACCATCGTTCATAACAGGTTTGGATACATCTGGTAATGGTAGAACTTGCCGTGGTTCTAGGACCACTGTAGCGTAGGTTTTCGAGAGAGCCAATGAGAAGCGTTGAAACAATTTGCAGTTGGTTTGCGTGATGTTTTCTTCTCGAGGCATGTGCCAATTAATCAGTGCATCTAGGCTCATTGGAGTGCGGTTGCTACTGTCCTGATGGGGAGGTGCAATAGGAGGGACAGGGAAACCATGGTCAAAATCAATCCCATCGATTGCAAAGAAATCAATTCGAAATTTGGGTTCGTCTGCTTTGCGTTTCGACTTGACCTCATCCACAAAAAAAGGTCTCCACGTCCTCCCTAAGCATCGATGAGCATTCTGCGTTAGCCATAAACCCAGGGTTTCTCGCAGGAGTGTAGGCTGCAAGGGCAGCCGGAGATGCGATGGAGGCCGCGCCGGAGCTGGCACTGTCAGACTGAGAAACCTATCTGATCCAAATCGCCGGTGAAAGCGACAGGTCCGTTCAGTCTTCAACGGATTCAATCTTAACTTCAAAACCCCTTCTTTGGACCACTCCAAATCCCCTGTTAGTACGACAACTTCTGAATGTTTGTCAGTCCTGAAGTTCCCAGTAGCTGCATCCCAAGCCTTGCGAGAGGACTTTTCGGGGAGCCGTTTTCCTTTCCGCTGATTATGCCCCTCTATCCAGCACCAGAAATCATCAAGAGTCTTAAAAGAGATGTTGGGACCAACCAACATGAGGTCCAAGGATACACCCCACTCTCTAGCCACTCTCTCGAGTTCATATCTATATCGAAGCGAGACGGAACTTGGGTAGTGGTGTTCGAGCGAGAATGGTCCGGACTGGAGAAGGTCTGTCATAATGCGCCCCTCAATTGAATCGCGAGGCTCCTGGCAAGCGAGTTGCTCTAGATTCTGTGTTTCAGCAAGGTTTGTTGCTGTTGTTTGCTCACTCAGATAATGCCCCACCACGGAGTCCTCGTACACGGGTTCGCTTTCCAACATTGACTCATCGACTTCAGTGGTGTTCGACGTGAACGAGGTCTCGTAGGGAGCAGTAGTCGAATAAAGAAAGCTGGAAGAAGTGTCAGCTACTGTGCTGAAGCTAAAATTCGCCTGATCGCTGGAGGTTGGTGTTGCATCATAACGCTGGTAACTGTCGGAACCCCTCAGGCGTTCCACAAATTTGGAGGGTTTGTCGTTGTCGGTTTTCTTAGGGCTTTTAAATATGTTGAATGGTACTGTGATGTTTTCTGGCTGCAAGACCGGAATCCCGGTCCTGTTGACGTTTCCAACAGGAAGATCACAGGCGTCTTCCTTGGATATAGGCGATTGCGGCCTGTCTAGATCCTTGACCGGAGAGTTGGGAGCCGTGTGGAATTCCTCTTCCACGGAAAGCCTTCTCTTGAGCGAGCTGCTTGATGGCGCAGGAGGCTCTTCTACCAGGTCGTCGACCTTTCTGGGAGTTGGAAAGGAGCCATTAAGCAGATAGAGTTCGTCGTTGATCAATCTTTCGAGATATCGTTGGCGCTCCTCCTTTGCAATAGTACTGATTCCGTTGCTGATAAAAATATCCCTCGAGGTGTTCGCGAATGAGCCTGGTATATGTCCCCATTGACCATCCCCAGCAGATAGCACCGTTGATTGGGAGACAATCCACTCCTCGAAGTCATTGAAGATCCGGTTCAAGTCCACCTTGCGGTTGAAGTATAGCACTCTGATCCGGCCATAAAGGCTCCAGCCAAGTGACTTATCATTCTTGCCAATAGATGGAGAAAAATAGACGGGATTTGGGATGTCTAAACCGAATTGCTCGTTTATCGAATCGATCAACTTGTTCAATTCCTGACCAGTTCTGACTGGGGTACGGGGGTAAGTCATTTCGTGGTATAGATGGACAAGCGACGGGGTTCTTTCCCAATGCACTGGCAGTTTCTGAATTGTTACGTTGCAAAGAAGTGATGCGCACTTGTCCTATCCAAAGCTCTGATTGAGTCTCCCCTGTAGTATCCTGACGGAATGGGAACCATATGAACAAATGGTTGGCTTAATAAATTAAAAGGAGTTTGATCTCGGCATCATGCACATGGAATGCATTGCCCTTCTGGTCAAAGGAGGGAAACTAGACTGACGCTGTTTAAGAATAGGAGTCGCAGAGGTTGAGACGAGGAACAGGGAGGGGCATGCACAACGGATGGAGATACAGAAGAGAAAGAAAGAGGGAGAGGTGTTGAGCCCACACTAACTAACAACATCCATGACAGCTCCCCCACCCCAGCAAATCATGACTGAATGTTTGGCGCTGATACCACCAATCCTTGCGTGCCACAGGATTATAAGTACTTATTAATACATCTACAAGGCTGGAAGCCTGATTCTGGTGATCCAGTAAGAGTGCTTGACTGCAACCGTGATTGTTATGATGATTAGGGGATGTCTCATTTTGGCCGCGCACATCTGACTCTATTCCAGGCCGTGATTGTATTTGTTGGTTGCCGTGTAAACGGACCCATTAACAGTCCCCACTCCTTGCCCGATCAGACTGACAAACAAACTGGAGAAAAGAAAGCGAAAAGGGACATCTATCGCACACGAATCAGCCGCCAACGAATTCCACTGTGAATGCAATGGGGCGGTGAATTTGTATGTAACACTGTGTATGGGGTTTCGCCCCATAACATAGACCTCCCAGATGCTTGGACACGATCGGTTGGAATCAGCAGCGGCATCACAAGAAACTGTTCAGACTGAAAGAGGTCCTGATCGGTCTACGTCCGGACCGATGGGACTGAATCGGGCCCTTCTTGTCCCGCGGTATTGCCATCCGCGGACTGCGGCTCTGGTATGGGTGTCAAGGATCCCATATCAACATCCTGTGGTTGTACATGCTTGCTTTTGGTGCCGATCTTATACCCAATCACGAGCGTGATATAGAGTGGAATGCCTATGTAGGAGGTCACAAATGCCATGCTGCGATCGATCCCTTTGGGGTAATAATCTGGGTCGACAAAGTCGAGCCCACGTATGACCGTGACAAAGACGCACGCTACCAGTGCAACCCACGATCCGAACAGCCCAAGGGGCGCTCTGAAGGACAAGACCTCATCAGTAATCTTTTGGGCCTTTCTTGCTCGAATGAAAGAAAAGTGAATCACGAGAATTGAAGCCCACGTCAGGATACTGAACATGGAAACCAGGTTGACCGAGTATTCAAACAGTCTCTTGGAGCCACTGGAGATATTCAGGTAGGCCAAACACGCCAAAGCAGAGCATGTACCCAGAGAATAGATGGGGGTTCCTCGCCTATTAGTACGGCACAGGAAAAAAGGGGCATTCTTGTCCAATGAAAGCCCGTGTAGTGTTACGCTTGCCATTTGAAGAGCCTGGTTTGCAGCCGATAGCACGAAGAGCAAAAGACAGGCGTTCAGGATATGTGGAATCACCGAAGGACCTGCTGATTGAGAAACAGCTACGAAAGCTGAGGCTGTCCGATGCTGAGGCGTATTGTGGGAAAATGCTAGCATGTGGGTGTCATGGGGAACAAGAATCCCTAAGAGCGTTATATTGACAACGTTGAAAACCAAGATGCGATAGAAGGTCACCTTGATTGCCCGACCTGCCGCTTTTCGGGGGTTTGGTGTTCGTAGGATCGTCATTCCCATCAACTCACTTCCAAGATAGGCGAGCGTAGCGGATGGGACTGTTCTGCAAATAGCACGGACGGTACCTGCCACAGCGCCTCCTGTCCCATTAGCAAAGGCCCCAGGGTCTCTCCAGTAGCGGAAGCCTTTCATATCGCGATCTGGCCCCCCTCCAAGTGCAAGGACAATAGATAGAGCCATAAGCCCCGACATCACCAGGACCTTGAAGAATGACAAAATGACTTCGTACTTTCCCAGATATCGTCCGCACATGGAGTTGGCGGCTATGATGACCCCTAAAAAGGCAGTGGTCCAAAAAACCGAGTATTGCGCTTCGTTGTCTTGCCAGTACGCTATCAGCAACTCTCCTGCTGCCAGCTGGTTAGGGATAACGACCATGAACTTGAACCAGTATCTATCATTCTGTGGTTATTGCATGTTGGAGGTAGAGTTCCAATCCATACAGGGCGGCTTACATCCATCCCAGAGTGAACCCAAGCGCAGGATCACAGAGTCTAGTCGCATGGTCTGTCATGGATGGCTCAGGAGACCAAGAGGCCACCTCACCTAGAGCGCAGAGAACCAAGTAGACGACTATCCCAACACCTGTATAGGAGATCAAAATCGATGCAGGCTAGCCGTATTAGTGAAAGTAGGTTGAAACGAGAACGATACGCTTACACCTGCTCTATTTCAAGTGTCAATTGTGGCTTTCGAGGTTGGGGATAGTTCTCTTACTTGGATAGTGCATTCCCTGCGCAGATCGTCAAACCTGTATTGATAGCACCGCCAATAGCTTTGGAAGACGAACGATCAGTTAGAAGTCTTAAGTATCTTCAATCGGAATACTGACCAACCATGGTTATCTGTTGGGGCTTCAAGACACCGTAGGAAGCCGCTGAAAGCCCATCCTGGCTAGGAGGGCGTGTTGAATAAGCGTAGTGTTCATTCGTGGGGATAACTCTTTCAGATCCCTGTACTCCCTGGCTTGGTTGAGGCATGCTCATTTCAGGAAACGAGCATGTAGCGGAACACGCTATTAAATTGGGGATTCGGACCTTAAAGAGCAGTCAAAAAGTAGACAGCTCAGCTAAAATGGAAGGCGTGCACACGGAAGGAGCATGTTCACACAGCCATATGCGTGCTTTTCCGCATACACACAGTAATTAAAATCTAAAAGGGTGACGTGAGACAAATTGTGGATCACGTCTTAGGTTGGATTGAAATGGCATGGGTATAGGTAGAAGTAAGTTCTGGCTTAAACGGAAAAATATCGTCCAATCAAGGCTGAAAGCCCCTCAGATACATTGGTAAATCAAAGGAATGAGTGGTGAGTCCTACCCACTCAGACGACCATAAACCATCATAAATACAAAAACGCCGGTCTAGAGCCCCCAGGGAATAGAAAAAGAAAACGGAAAATAAGCCGTTCGTGTAAGCGAAATAAGGCAGAGAAGAGAATGAAGCCATCATCGCATGGCGTGGCTTCGACAGAATGGTGTCATATACACATCGCGCCGGGTCCCAGGAGGCACGTCTAGCGTCGCCTCAAAATCCTTTTGCTGGAAAGTAAAATGCATATCCTGATTACCTCGACATGTAGAGGGAGTCGCTAGATTCCGTTCTCGGGAATATCCGGGTGTAAAGCGAGTCGCTGGATTCGGTCCGAGGGAACATCCGTTGGTGAGCCTTGGAGATTACCCGGTCGGTGTAGACACCCTTGGCCGTGCCTCGGACAACCTCCTCAAGATATTCCCGGAAGTCGTGAGGAGCGAAGTCGGGATAAAGGTCCTTGGAGGTCAAGTAGCCCAAGTACTTGGCGTACTCAGGATTATTGTCGCCGCGGACACCCCATGACAGTTGGTTTTCGGCCAGGTATCGGGGAATGAACTTGACGGGATCGAAGGGATAGGTCTCACTGGACTGCCGAGCTGCAAGCACCCTTGTGTAGATAGTCTCTTCAGGGATCTGTGACAGATGAGATCAGCTTACATTCAACAACCGCAGCGAGTTATTGTACTTACATAATTCCTTTGGATCTTTTCCTCGCTGATCTCCTCCAGAAGGTCATAAATCTGATTCTGTGTCAGGACCGTGTTGTAGGCGAAAACCATCTTGTTCAGTGTCCGGTCATCAACGATGATCTTGGCGACGTAGCGTCCAATGTCTCGAAGGTCCGTTAGGGCAAGAGGTGTGTTGCCATCGCCGACAATTTCGTTGTTCGCCGTAGTCATGGCATAGTCGGTCCTTCCGGAACCGAGGCGGGGGTAAGAAAGCTGGTACCACCAACCGATGTCAATGATGGTGTAAGGAAGTCGGAGCTGTTTGATGTGGTTGTACACTGTTTCTTTCTGGAGGAGAAGTCAGCTGATGATCTACGGAAGGTATGGCGTGCGGCGGCAGCGACTTACCTCGTCCCTCAACCACATGATTCCACCAGGTGGTGCCACAGTGATGAAGCCACATGGAATGAATCGTTGAACTCCAGCACTCTTTGCAGCCTTAGCGAGAGGAATTTGGTCCTGCTGTTCCGCAGGACCGACACAGCTGACAACGACATCGATTCCGGTCAACACGTCGGCGAGAGACTCCTCAGGGCCCTTGAGATCGCCCTTGCGAATCTGTACGCCTCGCTCTTGGAGGGCTACGATGGCAGGCTTTTGAACCGACCGGGGACGGACGAGAGCATGAACTTCCTATAATAATGAACAGCAGTGCAGAGATTAGTCGTGAGCTCAGAGATGAGAAGGTACAAGGAGAGCAGGGGTGGTTCTTACAAAGCCGGGATTCTCAAGCAGTCCGTTCGCGATGGAGCCGCCCGTTTCGCCCGCAGCCCCGACCAGCAGAACTCTAGTTCGCGACATGATGGTTGCAGAAAGTGGCAATGATTCGTAGGGAAGGATACTGTTCGTTCGAGGTAATGCAAGTTTGTTGGTTGGGAGGGTTGAGAGGGGGGTGGAAGGGATTTATCAAAAGGCGAAGAATTCAGGTTTTGTCTCCCTGCCGTTTCCCAAGTATGTATTTTTGACGTTAACGTTTCCAAGCCAAATGGAGGGTCATTCGACGTTATAAAGGCCAGCGTCCCACTGGAGGATGGTCACTACCCACTTTTTTCTTATCCAGAAGTGGCCAGGGGTGGGTCGATTGTGGATGTTAAGCTCCCTAAGATACGTGCCCCCCTTAAAGGTGCGTTGGAATCGGCTGGAGAAGGGAAGGGCGGCTGTCCTCCGTTCGTAGGCAGGCTGTCTGTCCTCCGGGGGACCCCATCATGCGTCATCGTATCTTAAATGCTACGATCGGTGCGAATGCTCAGCACTGAGGGTCTTCTAGACCACACAATGGTGGGCTTTGTCTACCACGAAAATGGATTTTTTTTTTTTATTTGGAAGGAAACATACTTTGTAATAATTACATTTTTCTGTTTCCCTTTTTCGTCCTCGCGACCTGCAAGACCTGCACACTAACAGTATTGCTAGTACTAGTCGGAACATCGGCCCCAAAGAGGCGTTACTCTCTGCTGCGGCCCGGTGGCTCGGGAGTCAAACACCCAAAGGGAAATTACGTCACTCGCCATTCCCCTGCCCGGGAAGCCGTAAGGCAAGTGACGATACTGGGGTTTCATGACCACTTCTGCCCGCGGCGGTTTTTGTTGCTTGGTGTCTTAGACCATTTCGAGCAAACACCACCATCATCTCCCCTATGATCCAGTCCTGCCATCATCGTACCATGGCAGTGGATATCGAGTGCAGACGGTCATCCCTCCCAGGGTATCCTGGAGTCATTTCTTGCCCTGCTCGATCAATTCACTGGAAGCCACGTTATACCCATGACTCTGGCCCCTTCCATGGACTTTGTAATTTTTCTGTTTCTTTCTCTTTTTACCTGCGTAGAATGCGGGGAGTGGAGGGTCGGTTCCCCTCACAATCTCAGCATTAATCAGGTTGCATATTACTGCGTTTACTGCTTTACATAACCACCCCCCACGTCAGTGATCTTCGGATCTGCGTGGCGGCTTCATATTCATGACCTTTTGCAACTCTGGGAGCATGACGACATGTGGCATCCCTCCTCTGGACCGATCATTGCCATTGGCGGAATGAGCATCTGGTCCCATGGTTACACGCATGGTCCGCCAGGTAAAGAACTACCGCCCAGTGCGTTGGAATCGGTTGTGGAGGCTAGAAAACGAGAACTTGCAACTTGAACAGCCTTGAACCTTTTCGCGCCATGACCGGGTGGTAGAGAAGTAAGGCAATAGCCGTTTATGCCACTGACCAAATCTTTGACTGCCCCTCACAATTTGTGAGCTTGCTTCCGGCGGATGACCTGGTGTTGACTGTCATCTGGAAAGATCCGATGCACACCACCTTTTCATCCACTTCTCGAATTTACATATTCGTAGACACTAGTTCATGCTTGCGGGGTCCAGGACAGATTCACCTTGCTGCAAACCATCCCGTCTCGCCGAATCTGACCTTCCGGATAAGGCCGCGACATCCACTCATTTATCGTCGACTCGGGCTACCTGGAACTTCTTGATTGCATTGTTGGCTACGCCCATTCCCTAGTCATATTGCCAGGAAAATCCGGGGTTTCGAGACGTGAGTAGATAAGCGTTCCCTTGCCGTGCCTGGCATCGGATCGGATAGCCACTCAAATTTAAAGTTGTGAATACTGGCTTGCTTCCCTACTAAGTTTATCGACAGCTAGCTACAAGGCCAATGATCTCTCGAGACTAGCGGCTTGCATCTTGAAATGAGACACACCAAATTGACTGTCATGATGGACCACGAAAGTCTTTTGACATTACAATCGCTGGACCAGAACGGCGTCCCACGCACTGAAACCAAACGTCGGAGCAATTGATCTTCACAGCACTCCATATTGAGTATTATTTAAACGAAAGGCAGGTTCCCCGAATTGAAGGTGCAAGCCGTACCCTTAGGATACGCTAGAAACCGCAGCCTGGTCGGCCAGTAGGCTGCCCATGCCTGCCTAGCGGTCGCACTACTGCAGTCATTCAACGATAATGGGCCAATGGATTGAAACGAGGCGAAGTGGATCAACCACTAGAGAACAAACCGCGCTGGACTAGCCGCGATCAAGCACGGCGAAGGATCGTGACTATATATTGCCGAGTGATTTCTGGGGGAATTCCAGGCGGTTGTTGGGGCATGTGAGAATTTCAGACCCTCGTCTTCTGGCTCGATCTGCAGGTCCGTCACGGCCCTTTCCGCCAATTGCAACCAGGGCCGTCCGTACACCCGCAGCAGGCTGAGAAGATGGTGCTATTCGACGGTGGGAAGTCGGTGTGAGAGTCAGGGAGAGAGGGTGTGTGTCCAGGTCCTCCTCTCCGGGAATTCTCTCTGCGGGTATTGGAGGAGGCGGGCAGGAGAGCTCCGAAGGCATGCAGCTAAACGGGAAATGGGTTAGCAAAAACCCCCACTTCTTCGGTGGTGGTCCAATCTGAGCCTGGTGCCCCGATAGCGTCCTTTTTCTCCAAACGGTGGGGTATGGAAAATGCGGGCAGAAGGCTGAGAGGGAGGGTGTCGTGGGAACTGGAAATGTGGGTGAAAAGCATTTCAATGTAACCTCCATGATCATGTTTCTCTCAGGGTTACGCTTTTTCCTTTTTTTCCACTTCCGCCGATGGTTGGAGGCGGAAGGTTGGCCTGTCCCAAAACGGCCACATGCCTTGAGGTCAATTACTGACTTACTTGCATTATTATATTGTTATTGGTCCCAGCGGAGTAGGGTCAGATATTGGCAAACCCGTCAGAATCCAACGGGCGCACAATGTTGCCATGATTGTTGGATTCCCTCTACACCACGGCTACGAAAAGTTTAACGACCACCATTATCATGATTCATCTGAACGATCTCGACCATCATACTAAATGACTCTATCCGTCAGACGCGGTAGACAAGTGTGACCAGCTGATGCCCTTAGTGGGGAGATTGATCATTCATCAATCAATCAATTCCTGCCAGGGAGCATGTGATTGGAGAGTGAGGAGTCTGTTCTCAACATCCCAGAGCTCCCAACGCAACCATTCCGCGTCCTTCAATTCGATTGATGTTGACAATTCCCTGTCTATACTAATCTCATTAGCTCAACAATCCAACGAATGGCATACCATACCACTCCCGTCTGCAGATGGACTGGAACCTCGTCAGCGATGAAACCGCCGTCTGCTTGTATGGTCGCTTGGCAGTCGCTCGTTCGTCTATCCTACTCGATAACAAAAGCCACGCAGATTGGCGGCATTCCCGACCGCGCTGCTCTCGGACAACTACCCGTTACCGCACACCACCCCTTCAGTTATTCTTGGAGGGATTTTGAGCTCAGGTACAATTCCCTGGTCACGAGGGGAGATTGCTCAAATTTCCGATCCTTCTTGCCATCGTCCTGCCTCTGAACCAAGAACGCGGCAGTAAGCCATTGGTATTGTACTTATCCGGATACTCTAACGGGGGATATCGGAAGCCTTGATCGCTTTCAATGTGCCTCCTTGGCGGCTACTGGACAGCCCTTGAATACGTCGACTCTAGATTTCAATCGAAGCGCAATATACATCCAGGACTAACTTATACTACCGTGTACCCCTAAATGCTCACGGTGCACCTCTGCTAGGTATAATTCACATATAGCCTGCTGGTCTGCCTTTGCAAGGCTTTTCATGCGATTACTAACACCACGCTTCGGTTTGGGTGTATGCGTGTTGAATGCTCGTGTGTTAACAATAATAATGGGCAATCTCATTACAATTGGAATAATACAGTTACTATATCAGACTATTTTTACGTTATAGATCTCTTGAGCCATCTAGACATATCTTGGATAAAGCCAACAACTGACAGCATAAAAGCAAAACACAGTACAGGGTCTGTCACATAATAATTAGACCACACTCAAGTCACTTGATGGGAAATAGCGAAATGAATGCCATTTTTCCCCCTTAACGCTCCCCAGCACCTTGATGCTGTCGTCACAATATGCCGGCATCATCACCCAACGGCCGGTTATTCGATGGTCTGAATCTTATCTCAACTACCATTGCACAGTCCTATCCTGGCCTCGACACTAGTCCCAACGACAAGTTACAATCTACCAAGGTGACCTCGCAGATCTCAGTGAAGAGCATCGCTAGTGGAGAGCTACACAGGACCCTTGCCATATAGTGGTTGATGTTGGTTTAAGCTTCTTATTTCCGGCCCTACCTAAGCTATTAGACGACAAAGCTTGTGACTACTGGATAGGTTGAGTACCAGATTGTGTGTTCACTTCGATTATGAAGCTCAGGTACTATTGGGCTCCAGGTGAATCATCTGCCGACCCCTGTGCCTTTAGCAGCGACACCGTGCGGTTGGTTAACAGACAGTTAAAAGGCTAATAGAAACCCCCTAACTAGACCTAAGGAGTATACACATACGGCGTTTTGATGAATTAGGCCATGCCTGCTACAATATGAGAACCATCAGGATCCACAAATTGGTGATGAAAGCACTTAATACCCAGCTACTTGTCCGTCATTCTTGCTGACGGCCATCTGGTGCTCGTTGTGTGGACTACATGACTGATAGCATCAGATAGGTCGGGTTGCACGGAGATCATGATCTAGCTTATCGATCCTTCTAAGATAAAGTGAGATATTGATTAACTTGAACTAATGGCACGGTCTAGAAGCTTTGGGTGGGATCTCGCCTAACGAGCTAGTCGTCGTCGGCTAGACTAGCAACCCCCCTGTGTGTTTGGATAATTTCAATTCGTCAGTTGCGGACCATGCGGGATGATAGGGGCATTCCGCTTATACCTCTTGTGTCTGCTGTCCATTCATCTGAGATGAGTATTGTTCCCGGAAGTGCGAGGTGCTCTGTACTTTTTCCCCCATGATTGTCCTATATCTGGCTGATGATCTGGCTATGGTTATCAAAGGCGTGGGCTCTTGGAAACGCCTGTGATAGTAATATGGTCTTGATATGTCCCTTTGCGAGTGCGAGTAAGGCACATCATTATGGCTCTGAGTTCCTAAACGGGGTCGTAGTTCCCTTGTATGGCATGATCAGAATCAGCTGTGAAGTCGGGCTTCCTAATGGGGTGTAGCGTCTTCCTTCATTGTCCTCCGACTCTAGTAGTCTCCAGACTATTTTCTCCATAGCATCAATTCCAGCCCATTGTTTCCATTATTCATTGGGCTGGTTCCTGGTCGTGAAGTAACAGCATTTACGGCACATTATCAAACTTTATAGGTTCCCCCTCCCTTCTCCCTCAAGCCTTATGACTTCACTGAGCGGACTTGCTCCGATGCCATGACGCCCTTTCTCAACCAGGTATGCCGGCTAAACAACCTCAGATGGACGTGCTAGATGTCTTGTTGCTAATCCAATATACACGAAGTTCACATCCAGGCCCATCGACTAACATTGGGATAAGCATAAATTCAGATCAGAATCAGCACATAGTGGATAGATCCACTACTTATCGTGATTGATGGTGCTAGTACGTAGTAATGTGGGTGGAACGGGGAACTGGGGATACCCCGGATCGACGACCCCCACGCGGGGTCACCTCCACTTCTCCGCTTCATACTTTTCTAGCACTGTGAAGCATGCTCGAAGACATCATGCCTCGGGAACTCTATAGTTAATCCGCCTACCAGGTTTACATCCGTCTAAAGCCTGAAGCAGATCGTCATCACCCCTTGTTCTGATCGGCTTTTCTCCGATACTTCTTGCCCCCTATCGTCCAATTAAAGGCGCCAGATACAAGCTATACCCCGGATCATCAATGACGGTGAAGAGTATGTGGCTTGGTTTGCGTCGGCATATGCCGTGCTGGTCGGTACTCAAGGCCTGGAGGCGAGATAAAGAATGTTTCTCTCGTCTAGACAGCTTCTGAGACCCCCACGTTGGCACAAAACCCCTCCAATGATTGGTAGATGCCCATACCTTGGAAGCTAACATCCCAAACCGGGGCCTGATGTGAAGGACAAAGCTCTCGTTAGCGTTGAACATGAAGCAGGGGTCTTGTAGACATTATAATCATCCTGTCTGCCGGGTCGCTCTTCCTTTCATCCAGGCTGGACCTTAAGCTCAATAGTCTCTCGATCAGCATTGATACAGCAAGATAATTGCCGCGCCAGAGAATTTATAATTAATATCGCTAGCTTCATCAATCATCAATACTACACGGATCCTATTACCCTAGCTACCAACATGGCGGATATATCGCCGTTCAAACCAGAAATCGCTCACGAGGAAAATATAGGCCATCCTGCAAACAATCATGAAACAAATTGGGTGGAGAAGCAGACGTCTGATGGCGATGTTGCTATGACGCTTTTTACGGACCCGGATGCGCTTGAGGAGCCTGTTGATCCGGCGGAAGTAAGGAAATTACTGCGGAAGATCGATTTCATGATCCTTCCATATTTGGCCGTTTGCTATGCATTCTTCTACATTGACAAGGTACGCGGCTCTACTTTCCTTGCGATCTATTCCTGCATCGGCTAATCGCAAATTGCGATAGACAACCCTGAGCTACGCGGCAATCTTTGGGATTGAGGAAGACCTTAACCTCCATGGCACACAATATAGCTGGCTGTCGAGTATCTTCTACTTTGGGTTTCTGGCCTGGGCATTTGTGAGTTGAATCATACCAGAAGATGAGATCCAAATGCTAACATTCGACTAGCCCACCAACTTCCTTCTGCAACGCTTACCAATTGGTAAGAGCGCCATTTTCTGTACTGAGGTACGAGCTAACTGTGCCATCTAGGAAAGTATCTCGGTGCCAATATATTCATGTGGTATGTGAACAACTGGACTGATGTTCTCGAAAATACGCTAATGGTATGAAGGGGAGTTTTCCTCATCATACAGGCAGCATGTCATGATTTCACCACACTCGCTGTCCTGCGAGCCCTAGGTGGTGCAGCAGAGGCATGCGCGGACCCAGCTTTCATGCTCATCACTGGTATGTGGTATACGCGACGTGAACAGCCGGTACGCTTAGGTTTATGGTACACTGCCAATGGCCTGGGGATTGCGCTTGGTGGTCTTCTGGGCTACGGAATAGGTAATATCAGAGGTGCCCTTCCTTCCTGGAAGTACGAATTTATCGTAATGTATGGATATCCCCAATACGTATGGTCCTTACCACAATGCTAACCTGTCTTCGTCAGTGGCTCTCTTTGTGCGGCCTGGGGAATCGTCATGTTCATCATCCTGCCTGACTCGCCAGTTAATGCGCCGCTTCTCACCAAGCGGCAGCGCCGAATTGCCGTCGAGAGAGTGAGGGAAAACCAGACGGGTATCGAAAACAAGCATATCAAACCTCACCAGATCTGGGAAGCGTTTACGGACTACAAGCTCTACATCTTCTTTTTCTTGGGTGTAGCTTGTGAGTGACGACTCTATAGCATACAAAAGTTGGTATCGCTGATTTTTCATCAACAGGCAGCATTCCCAACGGTGGTATCTCGAACTTTGGAACTATTATCATTCAAGGTTTCGGTTTCTCGACGCTTGTGACAACCTTGATGCAGGTATGGAAGTCTTCAGAGAGAAAGTTTACTTAAGGCTAACAGCATAGATCCCTTACGGAGCGATTATCGCACTTTCCATCCTCCTCTGCGTGTACCTCAACGACCGCTTCGAAAACAGGCGTTGCGTCTTCATCTTGATCTTCCTCCTCCCGAACATTGCAGGAGCGTTCGGGCTACGCTTCGTCCCACCGCATGTCAAAGTCGGCCGCTTGATTTGCTACTACTTGACCGGGCCATACAATGCTGCCTTCGTGCTGATTCTCAGTATGCAAATCGCAAACACAGCTGGTACATTACCCCACTCCTCCCCTCCCCTCTTCCTCCTTCTCCTGCTCTTCTATCGAAGATATACTCAGGCCTAACGCCGCACAGGACACACGAAAAAGGTCGTTAGCAACGCAGTCCTCTTCCTAGGTTACTGTACCGGTAACATAGCAGGACCTTTCTTTTACAAGGAGAGCCAAAAGTAAGCTTTTCGCTGACCACTGTTATGCATACCACTAAAAATATCGGAATCACAGGCCAACCTATGATCTGGGAATCTGGTCAATGATCGTCTGCCACCTTGTCGAGGCCGTGCTTATCTCGGCTCTCGGTCTTCTGCTTCGCTGGGAGAACAAACGGCGTGACCGAATCCAGTCCCAGATGGCTGGTGGTTTGGAAGGTAGGGATTTAGATTCCACAGCATTTCTGGATTTGACGGATAGAGAGAATCTCAAGTATGCCACTCCTTTCTTCGTTATCAGGATCTGCCATTGTATATGTGATACTAATCGCCGGGTTGTGACAGCTTTCGGTATATATATTAGCTTTCTGAGGTGTATCCATTTTCTCTGCAGCTAGCTCTACCTGGAAGGCGTATTGATCCTCAGCAAGCTGTTGGTCGTGATATGACGTGCCGCCAAGCGAGCTGCTACCAAACTCGCTAGAGTTTCATATACGGAGTCTCAAACCTTTAGGCTAGACAATCGTAGACGATACGGTCAACAGGAAGGTCTACATGTTCCAATTCATTATCTTTCTCTTCACATGCTTCTCATATAGATATCACGAGCCGCACAGGCATCTTAAGAAACATCCATATCCGCCCAAAAAGTGAAACCGGACTGAAATTCAATATACACACATATGCTAGTAATAATACACATTCATTCGCGCCAAATATACCCAAGTCCAAACTATGCTGACCGAGTCTACCGCCTCTTCGTCTGGTCACCGCCCCTCTTTCCGGTAAGCGATCTCTTCTGTCGGAGGTAGTTGGCAACAAGGTTCTCGACGCTGCCCATATCGTGCTTGGGCTTCCTATAAATCCGAAGGAGATCTCGTTAGCATTCCCAAAGCCCAATCCACTATCCACAAGGGATTCAATACGCACCTCATGTAATACAACCTCGCGCGTCTCTTCCTCTTCTCCGCTCTCTGGACAATCTCCACACTCTCAACATTAGGACTGAACACCTTAATCGACATCTCGACTCCAACTCTCGTCAACTGGTTGCGCAACAAGAACGACGTATCAATACCGCGCAACCGAATGCTCAAACAAACACCGGAGAACGGATCTCCATTCTTGAACGTCACCCGCAGGATATCTCCGACCTTGACACTGCGAGGACTCCGTCTGTAATCGAAAAGAGCGCGGCGCTCGCCCGTGGGATCCAGCTGCGCCAATTGGGCCTCTTGCACGGCGTTCACGGGGTCCTTGCACTGAGGGGCGGGCGGAGGAGGAGGGATCTTGCGTTCTTTGCGCTCTGTATTTCCGTTTCATCAAACACATGTTAGATATATATATGATTCCGCATTGGTAATTCGGGACGCAAAGTCCAAGCAATGAATGGAAGAAGATTGTTCAATCAATCCATACCAGGGTTCGGCCGCATGCGAAGCGGTAATTGACGAAGGAACTGCTCCGGCAGATTCTTAGGGAGAGGCTTGGGCTCAGGCTTCGCGGAGTAGACGGTGCTGAGCGCACGGCGACCGATCTGGTTGTTGACGGACGACAGGGACTGGGGCTTCAGGAGGAGGGAGCGGAAGCAGCCCAGCTGCTGCAAGATCGGGGAAGAAGACGCCATGGCTTGTTCCCTGGTGCAATTAGACCACCTTGGAGTTTGAGGGAAGCAAGACACAAGGTTCAATTGTGATTGATGCTTTGGAACTTGGGAGGGCGGCGGATCGAGAAATTCGGACCGGCAGAATTTCCGCCAAGCCGCGAGTTGCCTGTTTGGGCCATCAGTCCCAGATTGACGCTCGGGAACTTTTCTGCCGCCAAATAACTATCTATCTACTTGCTCGACCCCGGTGGTTTTGTTTTCTTCGAGCGATTGAGTGAGAAGGTTTCCTCCGGACTGTTGTCTTCTTCTTTTCTTTGTGGTCCGTTGAATATATAGTCCTCTCACATCACGATGGCGCAAAACGCCGTGGGAAGGCTCTTCCGCAGCCAGAATTCCACGACTCTGCGTCAATCCATTGGGTCGCTCACACAGACGCGCAATGCTTCTAGAAATGGTATGTATTGTGTCTGATTCATATGGCTTCGAATTGAGCATACAGAGGAACTAACGGACTATCCCTCCGCAGCCGTCCCTACCTTCCAACAAACCTCGTCCCCGGAGCTGGACCAAGCCCTCACCCGGTTCCGCGAAGAGCTCTTCATACCCTTCGGTCTCGGCCAGGACCAACGACGTCTCATGTTCCGCCAGAAGTACGCCGACAGACTGGAGCAAGAGCCCGTGACGGCCAACATAAGCGAGGACGAAGACTTCCTCCTGCGCCCGATGGACCCGCAATCACGACCGACGCTCAAAGAAGCCGCGGAGGTTATCAGTCTGATGCAGAGCAAGGGGGATTGGAAGAACCTGGTGCCGTTCCTGTCCGGACTACAGATGGCCAACCGGCACTTGAAGCCTAGCCGGTTGGAGTGGCTGGTGCGGAAGGCGGGCGAACACAATGCGGTGAACTTCGTGGTGGAAGCCGCGAAGCAGGCGGACAGGACGGGCGTGAAGCTGAATGAGGTCGGGATTGTGCAGAGGTTGTTCTTTGAGTTGCATCGCAAGGCTCAGAAGGCGGAGTTCCAGGGCCCGGAGGTTACGAAGGCTTTCAATCTGGCGACGCAGTTGGTTGGGTTGATGGAGCGCCCGCCACATGTTCAGCATGATGTGATGGTTGATCCCAAGAGGAAGCCGTTTGTGGCGGGAACGTTGTTGGAGTTGAGTGCTGCTAGGGCGCTGAGTGAGTTCGAGGGTAAGGATCAGGGTGGTCTGGTGCGCATCTACAGTAGTCGGGTGCTGGGGTGCTGGAAGATGGGTAACTTTGCTAGTGATGTCCAGGATTGGCGCGCTGTGGATAAGATGCTGCAGGAGAATGTGCCGATCTATAATGGTATGAAGCTTGCGCTGAAGGTGCAGGGCATTGCCAATGATAAGGCGGTTGCTCCGGGCTTGAAGAACCGGCTGAATGAGCTGGGTCAGTTGATCGCCAAGCAGAAGAAGAGCGCTCCTGAGGAGATTCAGAAGAACCCTTCGCTGGGTCTGGCGCAGGCTCAGCTCCTTCATGAGAACTAGAGCCGGTGTCTTCTACATTTTGCCATTTTCAGCTGATTTTATCTTTACTGTATATTACCATTTTGGATCGTTCGGAGCTGTATCTGTATTTGAAGATAGATGCCATTTCCTTTCATTCTTTCTGAGACAAACTAAGCTGTGCTTGCTAAAGTTCAATTGTTATGATGCAGGTGATGAGGTGATTTGCTGGTGGGTTGGTTCAGGGATGAAAGGGTTGACAACAAGGAAGAAAAAAAAAAAGGAACCCGGAATATATGCTCAAACGCTCATTACTTGCTTGGCAAGCGGACTAGGGAAGGAGTTCAAAGGTGTTATCATCGCGAATGCGAGCACGTCCTTCCAAGGTGGTCTTGCCAGAGATGACAGAAGGACCGGATACGGTGATCTAAGGAAATGGTAAGTGTACGAAGAGTATGCATGGTTGTTAGCTGCCTTACCTGGCCCTCTTCTTTCGCCTCGTCGCCCGACCCACCGGTCAACACAACTTCGACACTGCTCAAGGGCGCACCAAAGTGGCTCGAGCCTTGGAAGCGGCGATAGTCGAAAACATTGGTCTGGAAAACAGCACCAGCGACCCCGGGACCGGTCAAAGCGTACACCACGCGTGCTCCGGTGAGGATACGCAAGTCTGCGAGTTGCTCATAGTCCAACTGAGCCTCACGGTCGGCATTAACACGGTGCGAAATGCACAGCAGACGCAGCTTATCAAGCGAGAGTTCGGCGGTAGGCCCGACGTTGGCCACCTGGTTCAGCAAACCGTGCGAGGGCATGTAACCGGAGTCCAGGCTTCGCACCTGGATCCAGCGAGAAAAGAGGGAAACAAACCCGGAATGCGGCTTCATGAACTTGCTGTGATACTCAGACATGGTGCGCGACGAAGCAACAATGACTGTTGGGGACAATCCAACAGTGGCGAGAGCAAAGTCAACGCTCTCTCCAGCAACCGAATTGAGGGCAACGGACGCATTTGAGTACAGTGCAGCCATGACTTGGCACAGAGGGTATGACCGCGAGAGGGAATCAATCGAGAGAACGAGATCGTTGGGGTTAAGCCGCTGAGGACGAGGGAGGGAGAACATGATTCCAGCAATACCCGCAATCAAGTTCTATTCCATGTTAGCGCTCGATCGAGGCCGGATGTGTTGACACGAGATTGCCTACCTCTGATTGATATTCGACGAACTCGCCTGCGGACGACTTGGAGGGCCAAACAGTGGTGAGGGAAGGCGCCGGAGTACTGGGGTCCCAGCTGGGAACATCAAGACCGGTAAGGTCCTTCTTTTCTTCAATCAGCTCGTGCCAGACACGAACCTCCAGAGTACCCTTGACATCTTCGGGGACATCGTTCCAGTCCATGTGTCTGCTTCCGAGCTTTGCAACCCAGATGACCTGCGAGAGCTGATCATTACCCTTGGCGACGAGAGATAGGTCAAGAGCGCCGGCCTCCGCGATAAGAGCCTCCGCTCCAGACTCCTTCAGAAGACTTGAAAGAGACTCGGCGTCCAAGTTGTGGGGGATGATGATCGTCTTGAGACCGTAGAAAGCGCCCGCTAGAAACCTCGTCAGCAACGAATAGAGCTATCGGACAGATGTAGGATTCTCGAACCGAAGATAGAAGCCAGAAGCTCAACCGAGTCTGTCAGACAGACGGCGACCGTGTTCACCTTGGAGGACTGCAACCGACTTCCAATGACATTGATTTCTTGGGTAACTTGCTCCAAGGAATGCTCGATTGCTTTCCTGCCGAGCACAGTATAGATCTTTCCTTGTTTACCAGAGCCCTTGCCATCCTCTCCCACTGCACCCCGCACGGCGGCCTTCCAGATGTCGCGCAGATCACCCTTGCGGCCGCTTGTCCATCTCGGAGCGCCGGGGTCCTTGACGTTGAGTCCGGATCGGAGGGGGAAACCGTGCGGAGTCTCGAGACTGCGGTATTGAGCAGTTTCACCGGGCTGTCGTACAGGGAAAGCGGTCGATTGGCGAGCGAGTAGAAAAGGGTGAATATCGGAATCTTTTGAAGTGACGAAGGAGAAGACAAGGAAGGCGACAATGCCGCCCGCGATCAGAGTAGTGTAGATGTTCCAGTCAGCCAGGAGCTCTGCCGCAAAGGCATCGAGCTTGGCCACGATGGACGGATTGGAGTCCATTATGGAGAGAGCGAGTGTATCTAGTGTGGCGTGTCAAGCATCCATACACGAATTGAAAGAAAGAAATGCTCCTTCTTTAATGGATCGAGTGAGAATGAGGGAAGAGTAGTAAGTGACGTGAGGGGGCTGAGCCGGGGCTGAGGCTAATGGCTTATGGAAGAATGGCTATGATGCCAGATGTGGGGAGCCGCGGCGCCTAAGCTGACTAGTGCCGCTGAAAGCTCCCGATTCGGGTTGGCTGAAAACTTCGCGCCAAAGGCGCTTGTGGTTGCCAGTGACCCTTGCCGGCGCACTTATCATCAAAACAATCAGTCGCTGCCCCATTCACATTCACTCTGTTCCGACTCCTGCCTGCCCCTCCCCTGTGACCATGATCCTGTCGGGACCCTCTCTGTAATCTTGTCACCAAAGATCCCATAGTCACCGATGTGGTAGGACAAGTATATTTCCATTTCGCAATCTGATTCAACTACAGGTAAGTCCAACAGCAATTTTCCTATTCCAGGTAAGTGACCATGCCCCCCTTTGCCCATCTCCGTAACAAGATGCCATGCTGACACGGTGTAGTGTCGTCTTCATTCAAGCGTACACTATCAATATAAACCAATGGCGTCCCCTGCCCCTCCTTCTACCCCGAAAGCTGCATCTGCGTCTGTAGCGACGCCCGATGGCTCTCAGACGCCTGGGAAGTGGCGTCATCCTCATCTGAACGAGGTCGTCCGTCGACAGAATGCTGGTACATTCGGAGATCGCAATATAAATAAGCTTGTGTGGAACACAGCGGCTTTGTTTGCGACGTGGGTGTTTGGAGACACCATCAAGTCATAGTGAGTGCTGCTAGCAGGCGCATCAGGTGCGCGGTCCCAGGGGCCTTCTAACCAGCGTCGCAACAGTTTGCTTTGGCTTCAGAAAATTGGCCCGGTCTCTACATACCCCGATCTTTCATTGCTAGTCCTACAAGTCATCTTTGCTCTGAACATCTTGGTTGCATTGTACCCTCTTTTCCGCCCGAAAGACAACTTCTCCGATATTCCATTGACCCCTACACAACGCTCGCTTTTGGGACTGGATCCCTCCGCCACACAGTCGCTTACCCCGGGCACGACCTACGTTACTCCGCCTAGGTACCGACTTTCTGCGTCTCGGAACGCCAGCCCAGCTAGCAGATCTGGTTCCCCCTTGTCAGCAAGCGCTGGCGCTTCCGGGCACAGGCTATCGTCAGGACCTTCTTTCTCGCCCTCTCCGAGCCCGTTATTGCACAAAGTGGTCACAAATGGAAGCAAGGAAAGCGGGCGGAGGCCGAGCTTTGGATCTTCGTCTCCGCTCGGGCGCAGCTCATCCTTTTCGCCTTTCAAAGAATCTTCCTTTAAGGAGTCTTCGTTCAAAGATTCTACATCCACATTCAGGGAATCGACCATGTCGACATTTTCCGGTATGTCCAGCATTGCGCCCGCGACTCCTTCACCGGTGGGTGGCAAGCGTGTGAGCTTGGGATTGAGCAACAAGTGGCTGTATGAGCGGAGCCGGCGCCTGTCAGCAAGCAATGGTAGCCTTTGATTTGGACCAGATTATTGGTCTTGTTTTTGGTCTCAGGGAAGAATAAGAGACGATTTATGTAAACTCGTGTGTTTTCTAGCGGGGTGCTTGGGAAATACCTTTTTAGGCCGTATTTTGTTATGATGTTGCATGTTGCATGATGTACTTTTAGAAAGGGTCCGTTTCCTAAGAATAATCTCGAATAATCTCCGAGAGACTGCGACTCGATCGCCGCGTACTCTAAATAAGGAGACGGTGTGTTAGATTCAGCTGAGGTTCGTTCCCCAGTCGATCCTCCGGGTCTCCGCGGGCCTAGTTCCCGCTTCCAAGGCATTGACCCCAAGACCGCCAACATGCCACAAGTTCATTCATTCACACGCGGCCTCAAACTATTGGGCTTACGTCCCAAGCAAATCACCCTCGAGGATTACCCTCGTTCCGAACATTCTTCCTGAGATCCTAGTGCTGCTTTACTGCATGAGGTCAATAATTCCGTGATCTTCGCTGGAGACTTCACCATGGGAGCTTCGGAGTCCAAGCTCGTCTTCAAGCAGGGCATCTTCCGTCTTTCAGAAGAGAAGGACATTCCTGCGGATGATCCCTATTGGGCCAGGGTTTGTCTGCCTTTTTCTTGCTCCAGCTTTTTTGTGACTCTGAAGTGGATTTCTGACTGATTCATGTAGTTCTGGGAGCTCCCAGAGTCCTCAGAGGACGTCTTCAGCCTGTTCACACCTGCCGATATACGACGAACTCGCGATCATGCCTTATCCAACTTCGAAACACTCTTGCTCTCAGTCACCTCCCGTCTCACCGTACTAAAAAATCATCCATCTTTTCCTGACCCCGAACTCGCCCCCGACCGCGATGCGCTCAACTGTATCCGCATCCTCACCCGCCTCCTTCCCTTTGTCTACGAGGCTGAACACCTAGAGGATTGGGAGGAGAAGTTTTTCTGGGCTCGTCGCAAGAAGAGGACCAGAGAGGCGCAGGTGGCTGCGGAGGTACTATTCGATGAAGCGCAGGCGGAGGACCCAGATCAGACAGCCCCGCGATCGACAGGATTTGAAGACGCGAAGCCTTTAGCTGAGGAGTTGATCGACAATCTGCTGGAGCTTCTTTTCTACACTAACTTCACGATCCCACCGCTGCCCACCGCGAAGAGCAAGGTGTCGTACTCGATATGGCAGAGTGGCGTGGGTTGCAATACGTCAATGGGTTCTACAAAAGAGCTGGAGAACAACCGCTGCGAGATCCTACGGTTATTGCTTACTTTGACGGGGAAAGCAATGTACATGCCGTCTAGTGAGTTATCGTCTTCGCTTTGTTCGGAACTTCTTGCTGACTATCGAAGGTCTACTTCCTGTGCAAGGCGTCAAGGCTATCACGTACATGACGACTTGCTCGGACAAGCAGGTGGTTTTAACTCTACTTTGCTCACTACTAAACACTGTACGTTCTGATAACACGCGGGTGTAAGGGTGTGGGTGGTGCTAACGAAGCTACGACAGGCTATCAAGTACAATCCTGCTTCATGGAGGGTGCCTTATGATCATGTTGTCTGGAAAGACCCCAAGCAGATATTGGTCATCTATTGTCTGCAATTTCTCCTCGTACTCCTGCTATATCCAGTACCAGAAGATGGTCGCGGAGCGCCGCCCAAGAACTATTATCGGCACTACTTTGGAAGATTACATCGGCCGCAAGACTTCCAATTCCTTACTGATGGCATGACCCGAATCTTGAATCAGCCGGTCAGTTTGCCGCTATCTCTACCCAGTCGCTTTGCTAACTCGCTATTGAACAGATGCAAGCGACCAACTCTTATCTTCCGGGTAGTCAGAGATCGGTCAAATGGGCTCCTGAGATGCTCGTCTTATTCTGGGAAGCGTTGCAATGCAACAAGCGATTCCGGTCCTTCATCATCGACTCGAACCGCTCGCACGACTTCGTCATTCTCTGTATATTTTATGCTATCGAGTATAAATCCGACCCTTCTAAGCAGGGCGTGGTTAGAATGTGCATCTTTATCATGCAGACGATGAGCGTGGAGCCCAATTTTGGCCAGAGCTTAAACACAAAGTTCGAGGCTCAGGAGACTCTCCCTCAGAGCATCCGTATCCTTGGGTTCCGGGGATCCTATGCTGATTTTTTGATCATGGTTTGTCGCTCACTGCTCGAAAATTAGTGGCATGAACTCACAGTGGTATAGTCCATTCACACTCTAATCACTGCCAGCAAAGGAAAGCTGAACACAGTATACCCTGCGCTTCTGGCTATCATCAACAACATTGCCCCGCATGTCGAACATCTTTCCCCAAGCTCGTGTTCGAAGTTGCTGCAGCTCTTCTCATCCATGTCAGCGCCCAGCTTCCTTCTGGCTAACGAGACGAATCACTCCCTTCTTTCCTCGGTCCTCGAGTCTATTAACTCAATCCTTGAACATCAGTTTACCAGTAGGTCATTTGTTGCAACCCTTTGAAACAACATGCTAACTTGCTCAGAAAATCCTTTCCTGGTGTATGCTATTCTAAAGTATAGAAAGCGTTTTGAGGCAGTGCGAGAATTCACTCTCGAGAGCGGGCAACAAGAGATAGAACGCCAGAATGAGCGAAGAAAGTCTTCAAGCGGTTCGCATGAATTTGTTTGCAGTCCCGTTCTTTCTCCCACGGAGGAAGAACCTCCGGTGCCTTCAGACACGCGGTCTCCATTGGGCCGCATACCAGAAGAGAATAGTCCTTTTGCCATTGGCGGAGACGAGGATTCGGATGATGAAGGAGAGGGACGGGACACACCGGCGCAGGATTCGCCATCAGTACAAACTTCTCGTCGACCATCGATTTCCTCCGTTATTGAAGAAAGCGTTCCCCTTCAGCTGCGCGGCATGTCTGAGAAGGCACGAGGCAAGATGCCCGCTGGACAACCGTCCTTCTCGCGACAGAACAGCATGACCAGCCAGATTAGTCTTTCGGCGGCGTTTCCGACATCTTCCAGTGGTTTCACGCCGACTACCGCATGGGTAAGTGGCTCTCGTTACCTTGATTCCTGTGATACACCACTAACAGTCATTTCTTTTAGCTTGAATCCTGGTTGGCCGAACTGCCACTCCATACCATTCTCACGATAGTCTCCGCCATTGCTCCTCACGTTCCTGAGGCTGCATTCCGATCCGCTTCAAGCCCTGAAGCTCGCACCTTGATTAGCAACCTCCCGTCGTTCTTGGAAGATCCCGCAATCCATACGATTGTTTCGGAGCCATCGCCGGTCCGCGTCCACTCGTTTGAGTGGTCCGCCCTTTCAATGGGCTGGTACGAATCTTTGCTCTGGGGTTTCATCTTCTCGAGCGAAATGGTGGTTGGCACCGCCTCGGGCGCTACGCCGGGCACGGTTGGAGTTTGGAACGGAACTAATATCAAGCTGTTCAAGGTTCAAGAGGCGGCAGCGCAAGGGCCCACGTTACTTGCTCCCAAGGGAGCTGTGGACGCCGTAGGAAGCAACTTGGTTCAACGCATTGGGAACCTGAGCTTCCGGCGGAGCAGCACACAGGAGTCTCAAACTAGCTCTCGGCCACCCTCGATTCGGGAGGTGTGAGGCTGCTATG